TGCAGAAACAATTATACTATGCTTACGATACCGATGCAGGCAGGTGATTTATAACCTATTTATTAATGAAATGATAGAATGGCTTGACCAAGTTGACCCATATACAAACACACACACACACACAGACACACACATATATATACGTGTCATATAGGCAAATGAGGTTAGTGTAATATTGCAAAACCCACGCATTTATCAAACTCACATATTAATTATATGCAGGCAATAACGCTAGGGGAATTGTAATATAACTGCTTTCAATGAATATATAGAGATGGTGAGAGTGCAGCATTAGTACGTTTTTCGCAGCCGGCGCCGTCACGTTTTTCGCAGCTAGCGACGTCACTTTTTTCGTTGTCGTCGTCGTCATTTTTAGTCGACGTCGTCATCATTACTCGCCCTGACAAGGCTAAAACACAGCGCCGCGAGCGAGCGAAAACACGGCGGCGGCGGCGAGAGAGCAGAATCGGCGCGGTCGCCTTTTTCGCAGACAAGTTGTGCGCATTGCAAATCCTTTCACTTTAATTGTGAATTGTGATTAAAATTGTTTACTTTGGTCGCAGCATCCCGCAGCAATTTACCCTATGCTAATATACATGAACTGACGCTCGCGTCGCTCGTCGCCGTTGCAAGCCAAGATAAATACCTTCGACCTATCTTGGGCATTCAATCGATGTCACGTGCATGTGCATTGTAAAATCCCATCTACAAGATTCACTTTGCTCGCAGCATATCGCGCTCCGGATTCCGCGTATGCTAATTGTACATGAAAATGGCGCTCGCGCGTTGGTCACCCACCGTTCACTGCCAAGATAATTTTCTTCGGCCGTTCTCACACGTTCAACGGCCCGGAAACCGGACCCTATCATAATAATATCTAATATATTATTTATTAAATAAATCTATGCTGAGATACTGAGATGACTGAAGAAAACTGCATAATATAGCTTGCTGAGAGAGAGAGAAGGGTGGGGGACTGAGAAAAGGCGGTAGGGATGATAGCTGAGCGGCCGTAACAGAAGCAGGAGGTTGAGCGAGCGACAAGGGGTACAAAAAGAAGGACGGGAGGGGGTGAAGTAGGTGTTTTGCACGCTACAGGCTATAGGGCGCGCTCCTAATTATAAATACAGGTCTATACTAATAATTATTTATTACATAAATCTATGCTGAAAGACCCCCTGACCATAAATAAATAGTCATCACAAAATATATCTCCTCTTGTGAGATATTGCGCATGCGCTAACACACAAACGTAGCCAGAGTGTGATCTGGTGATGACTGGTATATGCAGCGCGGACCTTACATGCCATAACATACCATAAGTCATAAGATCTTCTTCCTATTTCTTAAGTAAGGTCTATTGATGGAATGTTATTATATAAATCTATGCTAGGATAACTCCTCTTTATTTCAAATGCATAATTATTGCATATTAGTGCATCACGTGATAAATCGTTGAAATTCCATTGGATAACGTCGCAGGTACTATGAAACAATAGTGCCCGCCTGAGTGGGCACTATTGCTTGCGCGACGCATTGTTATTATAACGCATTGTGTTTAATACAAATTGAAATTGTTCGTTTAAGAAACTTTGTCTTATTCACTTCATATTTGCCGAATAGATGAAATAATTGCCGAAAGTCATGTGATGCACTAAAACCATTAATTTTCTCGGGAGATATTGCGCATGCGCAAACACCGTTATTAAATCACCGAGTTGCACTCTCTCCCTCTTTCTCTTACTCCCCCTCTCTCGTTTTCTCGCGCGCTCTCTTTCTTTCTCGCTCGTTCTCCATGAGCAATTTCAACAAATTAAAATAAATGTGTAATGTCGTACGCGCTTAATACCTGCGGCATTATGCCGCTACGTGGCGCCAGATTCGAAATGAATAATAACTGTAAGGTGCATCGTTCACTACCCAGTATACCCATGGAACAAAATGAACACATATGTGATATTCATAGCAACAAAGATATGACCTTCTTAAAATGGCCAACGTATTAGATTCAAATTGATTAGACATAAAGTCAAGCGCTAATAATAGCTGCTATAATACCTCTAATAATACCTACTAATAATAAGAGGTATTATTAGCTATTGATGAAGTTGCTTAGAAATTTATGTTGATATGGGTAATATAAGAGATCTTTATTGTTCAGTTGTCACGCAGTCTCCTACGTCACGTTACGATGGCAAGACCTTAGATGCGGTGCTTGTATTCATGGCGTAGTACCACTTAGTAATACCTCGTATAAGTACACATATTAGTATTACAGCTTCCTTGGCTCTGCTATCCCTCTAAGGAGAGAGAAGAGTTTACCCTTCTATGCTACGCCTTATACACACATCTCTAGCAGTGCCTTATAAATAGATTATTTATGACAAATATGGACGCCTGTAGCTAGTAAAAATAGTGCCACTGTGCAATCGCCTTTCTTGGTGCTCGTGCCATGGCTATCCAGTGGGCTCGACCCATGCCCGGACACTGAAATCCTATCCTTGCTTTTGCTATTATCGTATTTCTTGAACTGCGTTCTATCTCCATGTCGTCGCTGGCATTGGACTTGACGAGCGATATTAAGAAATAAACCTGGAAAGATAATCGTGGATATAATTTGTTTTAACGGGTGATTAATGACTTCCTTTCTCGTGCAAATACTAGGTTCGAATTAATGTCGTTTCTATTCAGCGCGTTAAATTAGATACAGACGTAAGACTAATACAATAAGGGATATGTATCCGGCATACTAGGTTATAATTAATATCGTTTCTATTCAGCGCGTTAAATTAGAAACGAACGTAAGACAAATACGATTATTGCTATTATTACTATGAAGCTGCAATGGTGCGGAATAAGCCGTATAGTATCTACATTATATAGGTGTGACAGGCGTAGCGATTTAATGATCACCTTCTCTAGAATTTCAGTAGAAACCTTAAAGTCCATAGCTTCATTAACGACCACTTCTGATCCAAACAGCACCGAACTGCTTTTCTTCTTTCGTAGCGTGCGCGAGTTGTAAACAAGACCAACCTTAGCGTAAATGCCTGGAGAAGACGAAACAGAAAACGAATAGAACTATTATAAATCGATAACTATATCATTAACTCCCTCATACCGTTATACGCGTATATTCATGATGAGATAGCACAGAACTATACAACAGCATCGATTACATAACGAAATGTTTTTTTTTATTGTGATTAGAGGAGGGTATTCGCATACATGTATGCATATATATATATATATATCAGGAGTAGATAATAGGGAAGGAGTGGGACATCAATAAACAAGGGAAATTCGTCATTTAATAGCCTTAAAATACCTACGATTTACTACGCGTAACGCAACCAACTTGAGCTCAAATCGTACACAGTAAATCCGCCTAGCATCGTGCGAAATCGTTTCCTCTTATACACCCGCAATCCGGAGATACAGACTAAAACGTACGACACGATTTTCCATTCTGTTGGCAGCCAAATCGATGCGTTGAGAGAGTCATTTGAAACAAAAGGCAGCTACTAACGCTCGGCGATGCGGTGTGACTCGCTGGGAGATTGGACATCGACGCAACACTCGGCGAGATAACCTTTGACCCGGCAAACCGGCATACAGCTGGTTGTTGGTATGCTCCCCATGCACGCACGCCCACCGCAATCAGCAGCAATCTTCCAGCGAGCCGCATCCCGACTTTCCCAACGCATCGATTTGGCTGCCAACAGAATGGAAAATCGTGCTGTACGTTTTAGTCTGTATCTCCA